TTTCCCACGTGTGGGACTAATAAAGGTTATCTTATCTTATCTTATCTTCGTCATATTTTCATTTGAGCAAAACTGCCACTTATTTCCTGGTACATATTAGTAGTGTTATTTAAAGACGAACTTTAGTAGGCAGGATATGTTTCTACAGGCATGTCTGGTTTCCAATATTGACCTTGAGCAAGCCAATAAACATCATTAATTCAGCCCATTTTTGCTCCTGAGTTTATTTCCCTTGTGACAACTCTACGAACTAGAAAGAACTCAAAGTTTTTATACCCATCATTTTTCCTTTCAGAAAGCACTTGTTTTTGTTGGATTTTTGTTTTTGCTACAAAGCAACTGATACTGCTTATCCAGCTGCAGAACTCTTGGTGGTTTCACCCCACAGAGAGCACAAAGCATGCCACAGAATACCAAATTATTTGGGCTCATCAACAAAGGAATAGTTTATGGAGTCCCTGTACCCTCAGCGTTTGGGTGTAGGGCAAGCAACTGCCAAGACTAGAGCGAAGGAGAACAACATCAAAGCTCATGTGTTGCAGCGACATCCCATCAAGTACAAAGTGGACGGTGATGTGTCAAAGATCATATTTGCACTGGGGTGGCAAGACATTATAAAAATGCAGAGCAAAACAGGTTTTTAAGGGGTTTGAACCAAGTGGAAATTGGCTTCCCTGATGTATTTTTTTTTTTTACCTGTATCTGCTTGAAAGAGTGGAAACGGTTGCTGAGATTCCTGTTGTGTCCCAACCAAAGAGGTGTGTGCATTGCCAGTATTATCGCACTCCCTGCATTGATGGAAAAGTTCCCTGTTTACACTAAAAGAACTGCAGAACATAATGCAGGAGTGGCTGCCATCACTGACCATTAACACTTTCCGCATAACGTGACATGGCAGAAGTACTGAGACGCCTTCGAATGTGTGTTTGCGTATGTGCTTTGACAGTCGTCATGCAGGTAAATGATGCAACTCCCTGAAACAAAAGGCTTCATCATAACAAAAGGTGTACACGCATAGAGCTATAGATAGTACAGTGTGCTGGCAATATCACAGTGATAAAAGAGAGCCTTACGGCAGAGGCCAAGCCCTTATTACAACAACTGTGGTCACAATAAGCCGACTGTAATACATCAGCCTCTGCATGCATAGCTTGTCTTACTTTCTAAGCTCTTCTTCTGGGAATCAAACAAATTCCTTCAGCAGTACCTGAAAGCATCATTTAGTCTCACTCTGATGCTTCTGTATTCTTTTTCTATGCGCTTGTAGCAAAAGTTCTTATCACTGTTTGACTTTTTTCCCCTTTCTCTTGTTACCTGGCTTTCTGTTTACAGCTGTGTTTTAGCATTTATCATTTTTCTCTTTTGTCTTTCAGAATAAAGTTATGACCATTGATGCTGTGAAGGTCAAACTGCAGGTAAGAACCCAAATCCACAATATGTGTCTTTAAAACGATTAAATCTTCTTTTTCTTCCCCCATTCCTGTCCAAACGTACATGTGGGTTATTTTTTTAATAATAAATCTCCAGCAACTATTATCCATGGTGTAAAATACGTCTCCCATACATCTTCATTTCCTGCTGTGGGAGGGGCAAAAAGTGCAAATGATGACTTAATGGGGCCTTAGTTAATCTCTATCAGTCAATTAGCCTGCCGCTCTGCCTAACTGAAGACACAAGAGGGAATTGCAGACTTTCCATCAGATTATCAAGCCTGGAAGTTATCAACAAAAGACACAGGCAGGCAGAGAGACCAATGACTCTTGGCCGTTCCAAAACCGCATTAGCTACTGTCTGATGGTTTTTTGCACCTCAATTACACAATGCTAACGCTCACTCTCTTTATCTTTCTCATCTTTAATCCATCCATGTTCATCCATCTGTCTGTCTGTCAGATGGCATATTTCAGGTGATACTTCATGAATTAGTTTAATGAAACTTGACGTAGCTTTAGACTAATTACATTATACCATAAGTGGAAAAGTGACTGCTGAGTTTAAGCTGCACTATTACCAAAATGTTTATGGCAGTAAATCTTTAAAACTTTTCAAAAATCCTGTAATATTGTTTTATGGTTGAGTCACACACGGGTAAAAACAGGATGATAGCCTCCATGAAACTAAGAAAAGTTGCTGGTTATCCATTAACTGCTCTGAATGTTTTTGCATTGGTAGCTTGGTAGTTGCACCAACTGGTCACCCACAGGTTTAACGTGTAAGACCACAAACCTCGGGAAAAGTGTTTTTGATTGTAAGATGATTGCACAGGTTGCCTAACTGGGACTGACTGCAATCGCTCTCAGACAGACTTACAAAGATTTGCAACTAATGTTTGATTTATAAATGCAGACAGATTGCCAGCATGTTGCAATTAGTCTGAGTCAGTCTGGGCTGATAAGCAACAACTGTACAACTTTCAAGCTCATTTAATATTAACATTGGGTCTTGTAGGTACAAGAACTCAATAATTATCCTTACACGTGTATAGCAGAAAGCAGTAAAAAATCCACTTCTGACTCGCTGTAGACTACTTTCATTATAACGCACTCACCTATGATAAAACATCTTTATCTGCACTAGGATGTTTTATCATAGGAGTCATTTTAGCATATTTGGTTATACTTTGGCTCATGTTCTTGATTTGACATGTCTCCGATGATGACTGGATCACCTGTAGAGACATATCTAAAATGTTTGATCTATTTTAGTTGGTTTTTCTCATTAGTTAAAATTGTCTGAATGGAGTAAATAGAATTGAAAAGATTAAAATGAAGGGAGAGGAAAATTAAAGAAGTATAAATGTGAGAGCAAAACCAATTAATCACATGCTGGAGATTCATTCAAGAAAGTCCAAGCTGTTTTGCTGAGTGATAACACAAGTTACAACAGCAGGTACCAGAAAAGGAGAAATATGGGATAACATTAAAGAGTGAAGGCCATTAATGATTTCTTCAGTACAAGGCAAGAATGGTAATGTTCAGAGGAGTTAAATTTGATAAACAGCATCCTCTATAAAACTTGAGTCAGTGGACTGTGACTATGTTACGTTCAGTAGAAACCTGAATATACAGGGCATCTGCATCTTTACTTGTTCCACATTCTGTTAAAGCCTTATTCCAAAATAGATTACATTCATTTTAAATTCTTACAAATGTATTAAAAATAAAAAAACAAAAATGTAATGTGTATATAAGATCCTGTTTCCACTGATCGTGTGTCGGATGTCTCTTCAACTCAAAAAGACTTGAGTCTGTAATTACAAAGTATTGAGCATCATTTTAATTAAATATGCAAGAAGTTCAACCAAACGTTTTTCACTTCGTCATTATGAGGTGTGTGTGTGTAGAATTTTTGTAGTGCAAAATGAATTTAATACATTAACAAGAGGCTGGAGCTGGAGCTTAGAAAGGACTGGATTTCCTGTGAAACTTAGATTAGGCTACTCTAAAACATTCATTTTATTTGTCTGAGCCATTTAGACTTGCTGGTGTGTTTTGGATAATTGTTCTGCTGCATAACCCAAATGTGTTTGAGCTTAAGGACACAAATTAATGGCCAGACATTCTCATGGAAGATATTCTGCAAACTTTCCAAAACTTTTGTCTCATCAGTTCACAGAATATTTTCACATCTTGGGAATCATGAAGATTTTTTTTGTTAAATGCGAGAAGAGAATTTGTTCTTTTTGGTCATTCGTAATTGTGTCCTTCTCTTCCACATCTCTTCCACAGATGCTATTTTTTCCTATTCTGTTTTTTATTGTTTTACGACAGCGAGACCTGGAGGGGCGTGATTGGGAGGAACCCCTGATCTGAACCTGAGCGGTGTTTTGTTATTGGACTTCTGTGCAAATCACAATTTGACCATAATGAACACCTTGTTCGAACATAAGAGTGTCCATAAGTGCACGTGGCACTAGGATGCTCTAGGCCGCAGGTCGATGATCGATTTTGTAATCATATCACCAGACCTGCGACCATATGTTCTGGACACTCGGGTAAAGAGAGGGGCTGAGCTGTCAACTGATCACCACCTGGTAGTGAGTTGGATCAGGTGGCGGGGGAGGACGCTGGACAGACCTGGTGCACCTAAACGCGTAGTGAGGGTGTGCTGGGAATGCCTAGCGGAGGCCCCAGTCCGTGAGATCTTCAACACACACCTCCGGCAGAGCTTCAACAGCATTCCGAGGGAGACTGGGGACATTGAGTCTGAATGGACCATGTTCAACATCTCCATTGCCGAAGCTGCTGCATCGAGCTGCAGCCGCAAGCCGGTTGGTGACTGTCGTGGTGGTAATCCCCGAACCAAATGGTGGACATCAGAGGTGAAGGGAGCCACCAGGCTGAATCTCATCAATCTCATCTCAAATCTCATCTCTGCTTTTCACGGATGATGTGGTTCTGTTGGCTTCATCGGGTGAAGGCCTCCAGCTCGCACTGGAACGGTTCGCGGCCGAGTGTGAAGCAGCGGGAATGAGGATCAGCACCTCCAAATCTGAGGCCATGGTTCTCAGCCAGAAAAGGGTGGAATGCCCACTCCGGGTCGGGGATGAGTTCCTGCCCCAAGACTTAATTAGCCTTTTGGCTTTGTGTTCTACAAATTCCAACCTCCACACTCAATGCAGAATTTGTCTTAACATAAAGATGCTGTTTTAAATTTAGTTGCTAAACTGCTAAGTTATTAATCTATCTATTTAGTTGTTCACTATGCCAACCAATGTTCTGTTCATCCTGCTCTTCCTTCCTCCCTTCTCTCTCTCAGATATGGGACACTGCTGGTCAGGAGCGTTTTCGGAGTGTCACTCACGCTTACTATCGTGATGCTCACGGTAGGATTCCTCCATTTGTGTTTGTGAGAACCTCTTTGGTTGTGACTGACATGCCTTCTCTCCACTCTCTATTTTCTCCTGACACAGCCAGACTGTTCTGACAGACATTTCATTGCCTTTGTTTTCTTCAAATGTGTGACTGGCACCAGCAGGCACGCTGCTCCCTGTTGTTCCCTCATACCTGTTGGGATTGCAAAAACATGCATGTTGCTTTGATAGACCGTGGTGTGTGTAGGCGTGCATGCGTGTGTGTGTGTGTGTGTGGGTATGTGCATTTCCACCTGTATTTATCACGTTGCCGGGACATGAACTTCCTTACTTCTTGGTACAAAAAGCAAGCCATTTTAACACAATTAATACACTTTGCCACAGAGTTTTGGTTCTGTAAGTATTGGCTGAGTATTGGTAAGTGATGGAATCACAATACTCTGTGTTTGTGCATGTGTGTGTGTGTGGGCACAAGTATTTGCCAGAGGCTCAATGCTGTGTGCAGGTTCTTTTAAGCGAGAGGCTAACCACTGGGTGGGAAAATGAGCCTGCCTCTCACACAGTGGGGAATCGGAGGGGGGGGGATTGGGGAGCTCTGAGCTATTCCCACGTGTGCTTGTGAGGGTGTATGTGTGTGTAGTAGTTATATCTTGAACAGCCCCGCTGAGTACTGATAACAGTTTGCCTCAGGCCAACCTGAATGAGCAGGTGTAGTCGAACACACACACACACACACACACACACACACACACACACACACACACACTTGCTGGCATTAACTGAAACGCGAAATCTGCTCAGCAGCATATAAAGTAGCATCATGATGGGACGTGGCTGAAAACGTTTACCCGAATGTGTCCGTTATGTATGGGTGTGCGCTTGGCTTTGATGAGGTTTGCATGTGTTATACATAAGTACGTGTGTGCGTGTATGATGGCCACTTGCCCAGCATCATTCTGATCTGTCAGTGCAACAGTTTAGCCTCACTGATCTTTAACAAGGCACCAAGGGAACCTCAAACCAGCTCCTCTGAGTTGTCCGTCTGTTGCTGACTTTTAAATAAAGCTCATTCGCTCTGACAGACAGGACCAGGGGAGGGAATCCAGCCCAAATGCAGCCGTCACGAAAGCTGTCTACTACTGTGAACTAATGGACAGTTTTTCATGACTCAGACTTTGAAATGTAGAGATCCCACAGTCAGGGGTCTCGTTTCCATTTCTGAGCACCGCCAGGTAAAAGTGAGGAAGTCCAAAGTGTGGAAATAGTAAACAGATTTAAGTCAGTAGTTTAAAATCTGCAATTTAAATTACAGTTAAAGTCTCACAGTCCTGTCAAGGAAGATAAAGTTTCACTGCTTATACTTCTTTTTTATTTTCTTTTATCTCTACATGGATGATTCGCTGAGTGCATATGCTCTCTGTCAAACTCATTACTGGTTACTGATTCGATGTCTTTGGAGCTCTTCACTATAGCCCGTGCTCTCTGTCACTGATCTGCTCCACCGCCATCTGCTGTATTGTGCACATAAGGTACTATGCTGAAAAGCGTCTACATGAAAATGTCACGGCTTGCCAGATCAGACAACAGACTTCACACTGCTGGTTGTGTCGCTACACAACACACAATGAGTCATAACTCATCTCCCCTCCTGCTTGTATTTGTTGGTGACTGACACATAACCAACCTTGTGATACTTTACAAGGCATACTTGGTATAATAAGATAACAATGAAAACTTGACTGCAAAGATGGAAACCAGTCATACAAAGCATGCAGTTGCACTTTATATTTGTATTTAATAGTGCTGTCAATAAATGAAAAACAAAACAAAACTAATTAAATTCACAGTTGTCTGTAATTAATCGTGATTAATCGCAATTACTTGATCCTGATTACTTGATTTTAACTGCATGCGCTAACTGCTTTAACTGCATTAAGTTTTAATTTCAATGCGGATTAATTTGCGTTAACTCGTTTTTGGTTTAATTTAAGCAATAACTCACAGTTGGGAGAAGTCGCCCCTTTGCTAATGACTTTGCCTAAATGCTATTTGGACTCAGTGTTTGTGAGGACCTTTAGAAGAAGCAGCGAAAAGTTTTGTACATTTTTTTGGGAGACAGTTTAAAGTTTTTTAGTTTTTAAATGTGACCAATGACTTGCCCAAGACAGCTCAGTAGTTGTTGGAGGGGAATGAAGCATGTCTCAGAGTACTACTATGCCCTCTAGACAACTATTGATGTTTGTCTTATTTAATTCTGGCCCCACTCTCACTTTTTATTGTGTCCATGAACAGAGAGCAAAGAAATTCAGACAATCAGTACAAATGAGCTGGTGGTTGGAGTGAGCCCAGTGCAATCTGCCAGGCCCATCTGGTGTAGAGGGTGACGTGAAGGTCCAGCTGGGTCCAGAAACCAGCCGCAGACTCTTTTTTTCACCCCCTTCTCCCCCAGTGGAACTGACAGTTTGTCATTTCCGCAGCATGGAGCGAAACCACAGGGTACTAAAAAAGAAAAAAAAAGAAGAAAAGCAGACTTGGTGGTTGAGACAAGAAACAAGAGGAGGAAGGCAAGGAAAGGGAGGTATTGAGACATAAAATACTACCAGGGTGGTGTGGGCGGGCTGATGCAAGCATGACAGGGTGATGTATTGAAAGATGCTTGGAAAGACAAATTAATTTCTCAAATCAAGAATGGAAACCAAGATGTCTAGAGGAGCAAAGCGGTCAGAACCATTTAACATAGCAAACAACCAGCTTTCATCACAAAAGGCAGCTGACAAAAATCAATTAACGTCAAAGCGGAAAGCAGTGTGAATAAAAGACTATAATGAAACACTGTAGCACTTTCCCCAGAAGATTTCCTGCATGGCAAAACGCCTCATTGCATCTGAACACAGGCGCAAAAAAAATTAAAACAGTAGAATAAAAGAAGAGTGGAGCTCACGATTTTGAAGTGACTGGTTTCATTTTAGCCACTTAGCATGCTGTTACTGAATGCAACTGGCATCTTTAGCGAACACAACTAAAACACAACACCATCACTACCTTTAACTGGGTGTACTCAGTCACTTTGTAACAAAATACCACGTCAGCAAATGGGAGACCTTTCAGCCCGAAATGAAACTCTTCCAAAGTCTTTCCCATTTTTATATCTCACATATAGAAGTAACACGATGAACTCAGTGAAACAGAATAATTGAGTTAATAAATTTAGAGGAACAGGTAATGGCTGCATTAGAGATGATGCCTCCAATGGGTGCTTTATGATTGAAAGGGTTGTTCAGGCAGTATTGTTCTGAATGAGGTGCTTTGGCTGCTTCATTTCCTTATAATGGCCTTCATTGCTTTTGTTACCCATGGTGTAAGGAAGCGGGGTTATGGCACATCTCAGTGAAATGCTCCACTCCATCATTATTGCTGCTATTCACATAGGTTTCTGTCTAAAATGCAATAATCTTTTCAGTCTTTCAGTGCCATCCAAGGTCTTAAATCCAATGTCACAAGTCTTGAAAATGATTAAATCATTACCATTAACATTACTATTGTCCTCTAAGTTGCATAAACTTCAGTCTTGTGTGTTTTTGGAGACAATGTGAATTGATTTTTGTGTTAACAGAGGTATAAAACAAAACCAACATGCATCGTAATATGACAGAAAAAAGACAACACTATGGAAGTAAATGTAGATGGTGTTAACGTTGGGGTCTGTTGATGTTACTACTTATAATACGAAGAAGTGGAGGTACAACCAGTTTTTTTTTAAACTGAAAAAGTAAGGCATTCAAAGTCAGTTGCACTTTGTAGAAGTTTGAGTACGCTTAATAACTCAAGTATTTAAGTTGGACAGGAAGTCAACAAACATAAAACAACTGATACCAGTGACCAGCAAAGACCTGCTATCACTCAGTATTGCTGTGTGGAACGTCACCCTGTCATGGTCCTGGGTCGGTGACCCAGCGCTTTCAGTTTGTTATCATTTTCATGATGATTATTGTTTGAGTTCTGTGTGTTATATTTGGTCTGCCTTTGAGTCTGTCTCTGTCTATGGTGTCACCCCATCTGTTTGTGAATCTGTCTGTTTAGTTCAATGTCTTGCCTGGTTCCATGTGTCTGAGTTTCCTGTTTTATTGTGAAGGTTTGTGTCGTATGTGAGTGTGCTCAGTTTACGTTTCCCCTGTCTCGTCAGCTGTGATTTCTCCCAGGTGTGTTCCCCTCCTGTCTCTCATCCCTTGATTACTGCCGTCTGTGTATTTAAGCCCTGTGTTTCTCTGTGTCAGTGTCGCGTCGTACCCTCAACTAGCTGTGTGTTCTGCTTCTATGTTCCTAGTGTTTGGTCGAGCTTAATTTTCTCCATGAGTACCAGTCATGATGTTGACAAGCAAGCCAGACATTGGTTTTTCCACCTCCTGCAGTATGTGCACATCACGCCTCTCCTTTTTGCATCCCACTTGGGAGTTAAGTCTCAAAACCCTCTAAAGTAGACCAATTAACTGAGACACTTATGCATTAAACAGCGATTTACCTGTCACTTTTATGACTCCATTCAATTAATTATCACAGCATCCCTTTAAAAAATAATTAGTTCATCTCAAATAAGACCTCTGCTAGAAATACCAACAGCCTTTTGGGGCATCAGAATTCAAGAATAATCTGTTGAATAGCTGAAAATATATAGAAAAGGGAGAGGGGGGAGTTCCCAAACATTTGTATTTACAGTCATATCGGGGAAAAAAACAAAACAAAACTGGCACACGTGATATGCACATTGGGTTGATAAATATAATAAAAGCAATTTACTTATTGATTGAGCTCAGTCAACAGAGACTTTAATAAAACAATTTGAGTAACTGTAATGATGAGGGGTGACAGTGGCCCATAAGGTTTTGTGCCACTAAGAATGTTCTAGCATTGATTTTCTCTTTTTCAATATAAGTGAAATGCCTATGAGCTTTTTGAATGATTTTGTTCAGTGGATTGTGCTGGGTGTGTCATGAATCGCTGTGTGGCAGGCAAGC